TTAAAATTATTATATTAAATTAAATTATATCTCTAATAATTTTTTTATTTCTTCTAACTGATTCCATTCATTTTCTTATAACAAATATAATAATAGATTATGATTAGCAAATGCTGTATTATGAAGAGGCTAATATAAAAAACAAATTATTATTTATGTATATAAAATATAAGTAAATTATAAAATTTAATAAAATATTTTACCTTTTGAAAAATTAATGCTTTTTTAATTATGTCATAAGTTGAATTCCACCTTGTTTTTACATCAGGAATTAATTGAAGACTTTTAATATTTAATGCTTTACATTGTTGATTAAGTTTATCACGTCGTTGTGGAGAAGCTCGTATTTTAATTATTAATTTTCTTAATTTTTCTATAATACCTAAAGAATTTTCATTGATAGAATTCAATAATACATCTTTCTCATTTTCTGGACTCATTCCTTTTAAAGATTTTAAAGTATCTTGTGTTGCAAGGTTTATTATATATACTAAATATCGAACACGATGTTTTTCAAAATTAAAATCAATACCTTCATCTGAACAGAAAACATCTAAATAATTAAACATGGTATCCATATTACTAGCATTATCAGTTGTAATAGCTAATATCTAAAAGTATTAAATTAAATAAAATAAATAGAATAAATAAAATAAATATAATAAATAAAATAAATAGAATAAATAAAATATATAAATAAATTTACCTTTGTTACAATGTTGTATTCTTTAATTGTATTAAAAAAAACATTGACAATATTTTCTCCAGAATAAGGATCATCTAATTTTTTAAAGTCAAGAATTACATTTTTTAATTTCCAATTTTTAAAAATCCAATGTGCACTAATGCTAAAAAATGATATTTGATTTTTGGAAGTCCATTCATCAAGGGTAAAAGAAATATGTCTAGGAGCTTCTTGCAATTTATTTTTAATTTTTTTTTTGTTCATTTTCAAAAGATTTGGAAATATTATTTTGTATAGTATCACCACTAGGTAAGTTGACTTCAGAATTTAATCTTTTTATCATATTTTTGAAAAGATTGCTTTCAACCACAGTAAAAAGTTAGTCATCTGAAATAATCTATTGAATAAGATCATTTTGCCAAGTTTCTTGTGAAAAATTCTATCATTAATTTAAATATTAATTTAAATATTTAAAAAAAAATCAAAAAAAAATCAAATAATATTTTATATACCAAGGTTTTATCTAATTTGATATATTTATCCAATGCTCCAGAAGTTACAACTTTTTGTAAGTTTTTGTGATCACGATTAAAATGACTTCTCAAAGTTGAAGTAGAACCATCTGTTGGGGCTTTGTAACTTTTACTAAAATAAATGAAGAATTATTAATATTATTAATTATTTTTCATATTCAAAATTATTTTTTTCTATACTTATCCACAATGATTACATTTATATTTATTTCCATTATTAATTAATGTAAAATGGTTATAGATATATGATTTTGATTTTTTAGGGTTGATAAAGTCATTACTATTATCCCTTGTTATATTTGAATTTGAAAATTCAACTTTAGTTATATTTTGATTTGTATTTTCATCTATATTCTTATTAGTATTTTTCTGATCATTTTCATTAACTAAATCATTCTCTGGTTTATTTTCATTATCCTCTAATTCAATATCACTGGATAATTTTTCAAATTCCATTATGATAAGAAAGTGAGACAATGAGATAATGGCAAGAGTGGTACAATATCTAGATTCCTTAATTACTACAATAAATTCAGAGATTGATGCGC